TTCTTTGTGTGTGTATTAGGTGTTGCCATGTGTGTTTAGGAGGTGTTTCTTCTTACAAGGGTTGCATAAACCACAAGTGGTAGGGTTGAGTACATCATTTGGTATTAGAGTTTTGGCTCAAGATCGGACATATCCCCATCTATCCATCTATCTTTATGTGCTTTCCAACTTTTCTTTCAAGCTCCAACCATTGCTTGTTAATCAAGAGTTGTTTGTTGAGCTTCTATGTTACTTGCTTTCTTGCATTGTGTTTTTGTTTTAAGCTTGTTGTAGTTCAAGAAAAACGATTAAAAAAAGGCCCAATCACTTGGAAAGGGGCAGCAGACTATTATGGATGATTGGGCCATGGGCTTGGGCAAAGGGAGTGCCAGTGGGTTTTTGGTTTGTTAATAAGAATGGAGAGTTACTGTATTGGGCTGAGGATGTTGGTGGACCTTTGCTTGCAGGTGGGCTGGGGTTATTTTTTGCTTTTTGTTATTTCGGGATTTTTGGATGGGTAGATTAAAAAAAAATCAATATTTTAATTTTGCGTTGTTAGATTCAGACCTTGAGGACAAAGGTGTCTTCGAAGGGCGGGGTAATGTGAGAGTCCTAGTAAGGATAGTTTGGGAATATTATTAGTATATTAGTGGGGGTATTATGGTAATTAGTTATGAGTGAGTGGTTATAAATAGGGGTAGTTGGGAGAGAGGAGATCATCTTGGGGAATAGTATATGGTGAAGAACTTAGTAAAGTTCTTGGGAGAGAGATAGTCCACTTGAAAGGCTATCGATATTGTAATTTCTCTTTGATATTGCAATATAGTTACTTAGTTTCGTTTAGTATATCTGGATACCTAACATAATGCTCGAGGTTACTTTAATCAAACCTTAACATCCTTCTTTAAAAACTATGGAGTCGTCCATGAATTATGTTAGGTGGAAACTCCTGAACAAAATGAGGTGTTAGAAAAAAACTGTTCACATTCTTTTCTTGACTCATGTCCTTGTTTTTCAAATAAATGTTCCTAAGTCCTCCTACTTAATTAATCACTTACCCTCTGCTACTCTATATCAGAAAACTTCTATGACTATCGTATCACATTTTTATCTCGACTTTCGCACGACAAATAACATGATTCCTCGAATGTTTGGTCGTGTAGTCTTTGTTCATATTCATAGTCATCAGTGAGGTAAACTTGATCTATGAGCACTCAAATGTATTTTTGTTCGATACTCATACACTCAAAAGGGGTATAAATGCTATCATCCTCTTTCTAAAATATTTTTCATTTATGTCGATGTTACCTTTTTTGAAGATTCCAACTTTTTTACCTCACATCTTAATCCATTCCCAACCTCACCCTCCCTTCATCACCTCTACTTAACCATATTGAAAATGAATCCAGCCAACACTCATCTTTACCATTCATAGACACCCCATCACGATATATAACCTTTATACTATTGTACCATTACAGGTTTATTTAATTTAAGAAGGAACATTGATAAAAATAAGCAAGTCCAAGAGTCTGAATATATCTCAGAAATAAACTTGACGAGAACGGAGTCAGTGATGAGTCGAACATCATAGTATCTGCTAATGATGAGTTAGATATGGACTTGCCTATCCATTTGAGGAAGGGAAAACAAACTTGTATTCGATATCTATTGTCTCACTTTGTATCCTATGACAAACTCTCAAGTATGTATAAAAGCTCTGTGGTTAACCTTACTCAGTTAAATATTCCAAAGACGTATACAGAGGCAGTACAGCAGTACAACATGAGGAATAGAGACAAACAATGGATCTTGTAATGTAGGCCTTAAAAATAATAAAACATGAGAGTTGGTTACTATACCAAAAAATAAGAAAGCAGAAGATTGTTGATGGGTATATACTGTGAAGTATAAAGCAGATGGAACACTTGAGAGATACAAAGCACGGTTGGTTGCTAAGGGATATACTCAAACCTATAGGGTCGATTATCTGGAGACTTTTGCACCTGTTGCCAAGATGAACATGGTGCAAATACTTCTATCTCTTGTTGTAAATCACATATGAGACATTTTACAATATGATGTAAAAAATTTTGCAGGGTGATTTTGAAGAGAATTTACATGAAGTTTCTACCTGGGTATGAGTAGGCAGGAAATAAGGTTTGTAAACTCAGAAAAATGTTGTATGGATTAAAGCAATCTCATAGGGCGTGTTTTGATAGATTTTTTTAGGTTATGAGGAGAGGCTACAACAAAGCCAATGAAATCATATATTGTTTATGAAACATTCTACTATAGGGGAGTGACAATACTGATTGCTTATGTCAATGATATTATCATCACAAGCAATGATGGTAACAAAGACGATAAATCAAGCATTTGGTTAGCAAGCTAGGAATGGAGAATATTCCTTCACTAACTTGAGGGCAGTTTTAAATTATATTGTACATTTATTTATTATTTTGTATTTTTTTTCCTTATTTGTATTTAGGCCCTAATAGGTAATTCTTTCCTTATGTGTTTTTTTCTTTCATTCTACCCTGTAATTGCTATTTAGTATACTGCTATATTCCTCCTTTGTAAGTAAGAAAGTAAGAATTATTTTTTCATTCACACTTCCTGCTTGCAATTCCAACGTTCGAGGCTTTATGACCAAAGTTGATAAACTCATAGAATCTAAGAGTGGGAAGCATGAGTCTGCTATGAGTGAATGGGTTTCCAATATCTAAAATGCTTGAGAAGTCAGGGAATTCTCCTCCCTCCCTTCTACTCTAGATTCTCGTATCCTTTCTCATCTCTCCCTAGCTGTATTAGCTCTAGTATTGAGCGAGTTTGTTATGTCTTTGGAAAAAAATAACTTTAAAGGATGCATTTTCTTTGTAAGCACTTTGGGAAGGATTTTTGATACTACATTTGATTATTGAAAATTTTTTAGTCTATCTCTATCTCTAGGTTAAAGATCAAGAGGGAAGTGTTATGTCATTGATATCAACTGTGATCAAGGGGAGGTAGGGGGATGGGCCTCTTTAGTGGTATTTTTAAATCTCGTCTTGGAAAAATTTCAAAAACGTCTTTCCTTGTGGAAGAGGGATTATTTCTCCAAATGGAGGAAGATTAACCCATATCCAATTTGTCTTAGTGTTATTTGGTGTGCTTAAGCTTCTTGTCTCAGTTAGGAAAAACTTGGAAAGGATTCGAGGGATTTCTTGTGGAGGGGGGTCGAAGTGGGAGGAGGACTACATTTACTGAGGTTGGAAGTTGTGTCGAAACCAATGGACAATTAGGGTTTTGGGTATTGGTAACCTAAGGCGTAATGAGGCCCTTGCTAAATGGCTTTGGTGCTTTCCTTTGGAGACTAACTCCTTATGGCATAGGGTTATTGCTAGCAATTATGGACCTCATTCCTTTGAGGGCCTTGGGTTCGAAAGGCACGTTTTAGAAACCCCATTTTAGAAACCCCTGGAGATCCATATTTTTCGGGGTTCCTTTCTTTTCTCAGTCTGTGAACTGCCTTGTGGCGGATGGTCTGGAGACATATTTTTGGGAAGAAGCTTGGGTAGGCGTCACCATTTGTGCTAAATTTCCCCGCCTATATCATTTGGCCTCATCAAAACTGTCTTGAGTGGCTTCAATTCTCCCTACCTTATGGTCTTCTACCTCATTTCGTTTGACTCTCGCCGGTCCTTATCTGATAGGGAAATGACAAATGTGGTAGCCTTTATGTAATGTTAAGGGATGTTGTGTTGGATTGGGGGAGATAGTTATGTTTGGGTTAATGACCCATTTTGGGGGCTTTTCTATCGCTCTTTTTCCATATTTTGGGTGATCCTTCCCGTCTAACTGCCCYTTGTTCTCCTCATTATGGAAGGTCAAGTTCTTTGGTATGTTTGGGTTAATGAGCCATTTTGGGGGGTTTTCTATCGCTCTTTTCCATATTTTGGGTGATCCTTCCCGTCTAACTGCCCTTTGTTTTCCTTATTATGGAAGGTCAAGTTCTTTGGTGGGCAGGTTTTACTTGGGAGGGTAACTTGGATTGTATGGTGAGACATTTTTCTTTTGTGGTGGGACCGCAGTGGTGCTGTCTTGCAGGAATGCAACTGAGGATATGGATCGCATCTTGTGGGGCATCTTGTGCGGCTGTTAGTTTGCTAGCTCTGTTTGGGACAGCTTCTTCCAAATCTTTGGTGTCTTTGGCCAGAGACTGCAGGTTTATAGTGGCGGAGGTCTTTTGTTCCCTTAGTTTCAGGATAAGGGTCATTTTATGGCACATTGGGTTCTTTGCGGCTTTGTGGGGCCTTTGGTGTAAGAGGAATAATAAATTTTTAGGGATGTGGAGAGAACTTGGGGAGGAGGTGTGGTCTTTGACTAGGTTTAATGTCTCTACTTGAGCGTCGATTTCTAAGAATTTTGGAATTATTTGTTAGGTCTCATTATTTTGGATTGGAGGGCTTTTTTTTGTTTAGTTAGTTGGAGGCTTCCTTTGTTGCAGGCTACTTTCGGTTGGTTCTTTTGTAGCCCTTGGCTTGTTCTTTTGTTCTTTTGTTCTCTTGCTATCTTTCATTATTTTCTCAATGAAAGCTCATTGCTGGTATATATCTTTCAGCAGCCTAAAAGGTCTTTGTTCCAGCATAGGTAGAAAAACATCTAGTAGTATTAGGCTTAAAAATCCTTTCATTTTCCTTGTTATGTTTGCTCTTCTTGTTCTGTGTTTTTTTGCCAATGGGGAGTATTCTTACTTGATGCAAGTATATCTGGTTCAAGAAATTCGTTTGTTCTTGCAACATTAGTAGTCAGTGCCAAAATTCAATTGTTTTTTTTTTTGGTTTTTGGTCAGATCAAATATACAAATATCTAAATCTAGGCTAGCATCCTTTTTCCCAACTGAATATGAGAACATCTCATTGTAGACGGCTGAGAATTTTAGTTTTTTCTGAACATTTCTGAGTTCTTGATTTGTTTGTCTACGCATGACAACATCCTTCATTAATTTTCCTTGCCTTGTTTACTTGTTTTGTTTGCAGATTCGAATTGCAGAAGCTCAGTTGCAGAAAACACCAATGCAAGATATGAAGCCGGAGCAGTTGAACAAGTTATCGAAACTCGAAGATTGGCGCTCCGAACTAACACTTCTAGAAGAACAAAGGCTGCAACTAAATACGTCATAATGAATGACGGCAGGGTAGTATTATTGTTCACTTTATTTATGCTTTCTCGTAAAGAAAGACCATGAAAAGAAGTGCTGCTACAAAAGCTTTTCTATTTTTACTTTCCCGAAATCTAGTCATCTGTATAACTCCACTTTTTTCAATGTGTTGTGTAATTTCATTTCAACTAGTTTTAGGAACACTTGAACTGTAGATAGTGTTAAAAACATTGCTCTTCTTTCGCATGAACATGATTTTTTTAATTGTGTTTGATCAACCAATCCTTTAGCTTATCAAAGTTTAAAAAATATGATTTTTATTTTTGAAGTATTACTTGAGCACTATGAAACTTGGGTTTCCAGTTGAGCTTCTTACATAACTAATAAACTTGGGACAAGACAGTTTCTGTTATAAATCATAATTTATGATTATTCTAAAATAAAAGTCATAAAATTCTACAACAAAGACCCATGATCTAAGCATGGAAGAAAACGAAAATCTATAAAGAGATTAGAATTACCTGGAACCATTAGATAGATTGACCATGAACCGTAAGAAGTCGTAGTTCGTGGTCTTCCTCAACTATAGAACTTGGACCAAATATGGACAATACTCTTTGTTTTTCGGGGAACAGGAGGTTCAAGAAGCATAGTGTATTGAGGATCATAACCATATATTTATAGGTTAATCTTAGGGTTTCCCATAATCTCCTAAAATTAATGGGTTAGTTTTACTCGTCAAGTCACACCACTCAATGCGAAGTCATGGGCCTATAATCAAGATCACTCATATATCCATTAAATAGTCTAAATATAATTACTCTTTAATTTGTTACCCACAAATGAATTAATTATTAAATTAATTCCAACGGTTTCAACAATATGCACTACAACAAATTATGCTTTTAGCAACACACATCAAACGTCTCTAATAATTAGCTTTATCATTGTCGTATGTAATAAGAGATACCTAAACCGTCGTTGCTTATGTTGTTGCTAAAAGCTAGTCTCTGTTGATCTTTAGAGACAAACATTTTACTAACATCTCTGAATATAATTATTTAGCAATGCCTTAGTGCGTCTTTGATTGGGATATTTAGAGACGACAAGACAATCCTTTCTAAATCTGTTTTTCAGAGACAAAATAGTGTGGTTACTGAATGATTGTATTAGATATGAAAAAGTAACGTTGCGGAATGTTTATTTTAGAGACGAAAAAGTAGGGTTTGTTGAATGTTTATTTTAGAGACGACAAAAGTATCGTTTCTAAATCTATTCTTTAGAGGCAAAAAATTGATGTTGCTTAATATTATTTTTTGAGACGAAATTTTAAGGTTGCTCAATGATTTTTAGAGACTAAAATGTAAGGTCGTTGAATGTTGTTTTTTAGAGACGAAAAAAATGTTGCTAAAGCTATCTTTTTAGAGACTATGCAATTTTTCTAAAAGTATCATTCTAATTCAATTTTAATTTTATTTAATATATCAATCATGATTTATAAAAAAGTTGTTCTTAGAAGACAAAAATAATGTCGTTTGAAAGCATTTTTTTTAGACAACAGTGTACTTTAAAAAAATATTCATTTGTATTTTGAACATACATTTCTAAAATTAATAATATTATAACCTCTAAATTCAACTATAACTATTTAATTTTTGTCATTAGTAAAACTAATTCAAATAATTCATTTAGTTAAAATCAAAGAAAAAATGAAAACAATAACAAATTAAGTTGTTCTAATATGAAATGTATTTACGGAGGGAAGCCAAACTAAAAGTTAGAAAATAAAATTCTAAACGCATAATCAATCAAATAAAGGACCAAACATATCCTCCAACTTTTGAATACGAGATTGGGTATCTTTCAACTCAGTACGTGTCTAAAGCAACTTTTCACGTGTTTCTTGTAGCTTTGTTTCTATTGTTTCAATGATCATTCGTTGATTTTCAACAACATCATGCCACTTTTCATTCTCTCAAGCACATGCAGATACTTTACAAAAACATGGCTTAGGTCCAAAATCAAGTCGTTTGATATAATTATATTTCTTACCAAGTACAATTTCACATATTTCTACATCAGTTAGTGGTGGTTTATCGTCTACTTACACATGTCTTACCAATAAGCGTTCAATCACATTGTCTTTGAGTTCTATTGACACATCATCCCAATGACTATCTGTTGGAGATATGAATAGATGAACAAGAGTTCCTATCTCTTGATTGAAAGATTGTGAGTTTGTAGATGAAGGTGCACCTTCATTTTTTGTCCAGTGAAGTATATTCTACCATGAACTTGAACATGTTTATCTAGTCCAATCCCTTACATATGTCCTCAAACCTTCTTCTTTTGTTGCTCTAAAGTATTTAAAATTTATTAAAGTTCTAAATTTTGAAATTTTCAAAAAATATAATCAAAATTGTACTTGATAAATTTTCTCCATCAAGTGTAGGTGCATCACCCATTGTACGCTCGCATGATCCATGTCCACCGATTATATCTACAACGCATAATAACAAACATATTAATAAATGATATCGTTACAATTACCTATTGTTTGTATATATATATATATATATTAAATCATTTAAATAACACAACACATTTATGATTTATATATCGAAGTTCAGTAACTTCATGTAGTATACCATAAAAGTTTAGAACTCAACAGTTACACCGACTTGTTCAACACTATACTTCGATTCTGCTCTTCGAAAAGGAACATCGGCTCTAACAATTCCGTCTCCGTCTGCCAAAACAACCGGAAATGTTTAAAAAAAAGTCGGCATACGGCGTACAAAAAGTTCGCGCCCTTCTTTATCTCTAAAAATAAGGTGTCCTAACCACCCAACAGCTATTCCATCCCCGTTGTCCATGGAACCCRYTCGGAATAATCCACCTTTTGCGGGATTATTACCGATGTAATCATAAAAAGCTAATTTTTCAGGAATTTTAGACCAAGCTTCTGATAAACTTTGATTTTCGGCTAGCCCGGCACCAACTCTKCGATATATTTCTTGCTGGAAGTATCCCTGATCCCATTATGTTTTCATTATCATGTTTGTAGGAGCAAAGGAAGGAAGAATACGATATAGAAAATTCGGCACGACCATGGTGCTAAATCGTCAATTGCCTGTTGCTTTCTAAGGTTAACACAACACCCGAATTCAAGCGTGCACTCGCAGGAAAACGGATTGGAATCAGCTCAGAACAAAAGTTTGTAAACAGAGAATGGATTAAGAAAAATGAGAGAATGTAGGAGGAGAATAATTTTTTGGGTGTCTCAAATGAGAGTGAGGATGGGTTTATATAGCATTTGAAATTTTAACGTTTCTTCCTAAAAATTGATTATAAAACCGTTTGCATTAAAATTATTACAAACATAAATTGCAAACGGTAAAGAAACGTTTCTTGGCACAAAACCAATCAACCCACCAAATTTATATGAGTCTGTTATAAGCCCAACATCAGCCAAAGCAAGACAAAATGTGAATATGTTCTGGGCCCAATACATTTAGTAATAAACTGTTTGTTATTTATTTCCAAAAAATCATTTTGATAAATCTTTCCATACCAGACAATAAAGGATATTTTGTTTAGAAAAAAAACTCTCTTTTGACATTCCTAACAATGTTCACCAGATACAAGCATTCTACTATTTTGGGTCGTTTGTCTACTATCACGATTTATTGCATGAAAACGTATCCCATTTACAATGCATCCAGTATATTAGTGGATGCGAAAATCTAGATCAGATGCGAGAGAATATATATCATCAGAAATTTCCATAGATAATTGGAGTCGACGATGATTTTGTATCTGCATAAAGTTTTATAAATATTAATAAATTCCAATGCGGAATATATATATAAATATTACACCGTAGATATACTTACATGATTTTTGAACCAACAAGAAAATTGTTCTTCATGTTTTCGCTCCAAATCATGTCTATATCTTATTTGTAACTCTCGCATATGTTATCTAACATATGTAGAAGCACAAAATAAATATTTAAACAAAAATAATTGTTGTTTTAAAGATTAAATAAAAGGTTGGTACCTCTTATAGCTCTCGATGTCCCCGCAATTATTAAGTACAAACCAATGAGCTTTATCCAACTCTAGTTGAGATAGATTAACAAATTATCTACCTCCTAATGTTCAAACGTTTTCGTTGAATATTGAAAGTCCATTGTCATTGCTCTAATTTGATGGAGTGTCTTCATAGCGTTCATTTCTGTTAAATTTAGTTTTGATCCCACTAAGGTATAATGAACAAAATGTCAATGATTCATTGACTATATATGCTGTCAATACTTCAACAATTGAACCTTCTGGTCGTGCTTTGTTTTTTACGTATTGCTTAAGAGTCCTCAAACTCCTAAAATAAAAATAAAAAGAATTAAGTTTGTAATAAAGAATCAAATAATCATTGAAGCTAATATTATATATACCTCTCAACGGGATACATCTAATTATAGTCAACAGGTCCAACAAGTTTAACTTCATATGACACATGAATTGCTAGATGCACCATTACATCAAAAAAAGGTTGGTGGGAAGATCCTTTCAAACTTGCATAAAATATAAATGATACCTTCTTGTAGAGTATCAAGATCATTAATTCTTAAATTTTTACTGCAAAGTCTCGAAAAAAGTTAGACATCTCAGCAATTGTGTTACACACGTCCTTTTGCATATATGTACGAATACCAACTGGGAGGAGTCGTTGAAGCAAGATGTGATGATCATGACTTTTTAATCCCAATATTTTTCCATTTTTAACGTTAATACAACGGGATATATTAAATACAAATCCATCAGGCAACTTTACTGTCTTCAAAAACTTACAAAAGTCAACTCTCTCTTTGGCCGTCAATATGTAAGAAACCTGAGGCTTATAGTATCTATTACCTCTACGTTGCAGATGAAGTTCTTTTCTTATTTTTAAATTAGCTAAGTTCAATCTCGCTTTCTCATTATCCTTGGTTTTTCCATCAACATCCATCAAAGTACTCAGTCACCGCCGTAGAGCTGGAGTATGAGTCCATCTAGGCTGACCGACCTGTCGACGGCGGTAAGGAGGCCGAGGCTACTGAGGTTGCTGCGGTCGCTGACGCTGACACAGGAACCAGCAGTCCTGCCGACCTTCCACAGGAGTAGATCGCCTCCTTCTTCTGTCGCTCCTTCTCCTTTCTCTTTCTAAACTCAATTACTGTACTGAGCCGAGGCATATACACCTCAGCTTCTCATCAAACTTTTATCTTTAATGAAAT